GTATCGTAGGGTACAGTAAGGGTGCGCACCACCCAACCTATAGGAAGTGAATGTGAGTTGTGGGGGTCTCGAGGGAACGCCGGCAGCTATGGGGAGTTTCGACCTAATGTCGCGACTTGGGGTCGAGCGACAGGAGAAAACCTAAAAGCTGGGGGCATTTGACTGGTTCTTACCGAAGCGATGGTGAGCTAGGCTCGAACCTAAGGCTAGGGACAAGTAAATGCATTAGTTAGTAAGGTAAGAAAGGAATACAACTGAAGGCTTACTGACCTAGGGACAAGAGGTCAAAACTAAGGTCCCTAGGGCAGCAGAGGCCGGCTTATATACAGGGGATGTTTAGGGGAGGCTGTGCGCACTGGTCCGTGCGTAGCTGGTCCGTGCACAGCATGCCGACGCGGCCCCGGGGGCCGGTGAGTCAGAGCGGCTGTGTCAGCGGAGCCCGAGCTGTGCCGTGCGCTGCCGCCCCATCTAATCTAATCATACAGTAGATAGCGACGCGTCCATATCGGGTATGTAGTACAGAGGTCGCGGGTTCGAGCCCGCGAAAAGGAAAGAATTAAAAAACGGCTAGACGCCATGCCAACTCGTGACACAATCCAACCCAATGATCACATCCTCTGGACCTATGTCCGTGACCGTAAACACCGTCTTCTCGACGTGTTCTCCTATCTGCATCTGTAGCACTGCTACCTCCGAGATGCTTCCGTCTTTATTGAGCGTTCCATCGATATTGTAAAGCGGGATTGGCTCTTTCAATTTCCGCATTCGTACTCGATTTTCTGTGATGAAACACTTGTTGATGAACTTCGTGGTGGCTCCGCTGTCCACCATTGCAACTATATCCTTGTGCCGTCTTTCTCCTTTGAGGCGCACCGGGATGTGGAAGTGCTGGGACCCGTGGTCCAACTCGTAAACATTCACGGTCGCCAATACATTGTACAAATTGTTATTACGAGGTCCGACGCGTGCGGCACGAAGCGCGGACCGGATCAAAAAGACTCTTCTTTGAGCGCTCGATAGTGCTCGAGCTCCTCACGCATCGACTTCATCTGTGCTATTAAGTCCGCCAGCTCGGAACTTTCCAATTTCGCTGAAGCGGCGCTTATACTCGCCGAGGATGAAGCGACGGGGGCGCTTGTCGCCGCCTGGGTGGAACCTGAGGCAACCGTAGCCCGCGCGTCGGCGCGTTTTGTGTAAGGTTTATCCTTACAGTTAGGGCACTCGAAACGACGGTACCCTTGTTTCCCGCAGCCAAAGCACGTGCCGGGGAAGTCTCCTTTTCCGACGGCCGCATTGATGCTGGCCGAAGCTGCGTGTGACGAGGGTGCACCACCACGTGCCCCGCCGCGACCTCGACCTCTGGCTGAGAAGAAGTTGTTCAACTCGGGCCGACGGGCCTGGCTGATGTCGAGGATCTGCTCGACCTCAGTGGCTCGCTTTTCAGCAGCTCGCCACGTGGTGAAGGTTTTGAGCTCGATCTTGTGATATACGCGGGAGGGGATGCCGCTCAGGTACTTGTCGCGTAGCTCCAGGTCCCCATACCCAGAGCGATCCGCCGGACCCTTGAACAGCGCGGAGAACTCCGCAGCGGTGCGTTTTTCGCGGACGGATTTGTCCGCACAGAGCTTCGCCAGCTCCACTTGTGCTGCTGCCGCATCGTCGAGATTACCGAAGCGGGCCTTGAAGGCAGCGGTGAAGGCCGCTTCGTTCCTGAAGGGGGTTGTAACCCCTTGTACACCCATCTGCACCGATGCGAGTTGGGCGAAGTAAGGCGTGGCCCAGGCGCGGGCGTCACCGTCGAGCAGACTCATCGCAACTTGCACCTTAAGTTCGATGGTGGTCAGCGATGTGTTGACCAGCCAGTAGATACGGAGTTGCGACAGGAACCTGTCGCACTCGATGACGGTTTTGCCGTCATAGCGGAGTGGGAGGAGGAGCTTCAGGGTCTCCTTGTCAGGTGCGGCGGCGGGAGAAGACATTATCGGCGTCGGGGGGGACGGAGGACGCTGTGGGGGCGGAGGCGGCTGTGGTGGCCCTCCGCTGGTCGAACTTCGAGAGGAGCGAGTGCTCGAGCGGCCTCTCAGCGGAGTCGGTGGTGAAGGTGCCGAAGAAAGTTCGGCGGGGGGGTTACGTTGATAGGCGCCAAGCCCCTCTGGGCCCCGATTCACCTCTTTTCGGCACTCGCATCCCGCCCGGCACTTCGACTCAGTCCCCCAACACTTCGATTTCGCCTTCGACGCTCTTCGACACCTTCGACGGTGCGCGACGCTTACTCGAAGCTCGGCATGGTCTTCCCGATGCCTTGTGCGTAGATCTCGGAACGTCTTCCGCATTCGGCGAACAATAGGGCCACTTGACGCCGCTCGGCCAAGCGCGCGCTTCGCTCCAAGCCACACCGAAGTAGCCGGTCTTTCCCGATTAGGTATCGAACCTCGCGGCATGCCTTCACGACGGCTACCGGTCCGAAGTGGCCATATGTTGCTCTTCATCTCCGCATTCGGCATGACGTCACTCTACTGATGGACTTGGTATGTGCCCCTCGGTGGGGCAGCTTCTTGAGGAACAATGCAAAGCTCCTTGTACCCGTATGCCACTCTCGAATAGTCGTAGCATCCTGTGTAGTATAAAATCTGTCGTAGTTCTCCCCAAAAATAGAAGATCCGTTCCCCCCCCTCGAGTTCAGAGCTCATAAGTCGAGTTCGCCCCGCGTCTAAGCTTTCAACTGCGTCACTCCGTCCCTCGCCGCATAACTTCGAAACCCCGTCCACTGCGTTTACTCGTCGATACCGTCTCGACGAACTCTTCGACTTCGACTATTGTCGAAGAAACTGCGAACCGCGCCCTAGCTAAGTACACCCTGTCGAATCGTGTCCCTTCTCTCTACGATACATCGAAGAGCTCTGCCGAGCTTCGATCGTCGCTAACTTTCCACAGCTTCCGAGTAGCTTCGACGACGTGTCGAAGCCACCTCGTACCTACCCGTTTGTTCGTAACCTTTCCCAAGGGCGTTTCTCGTGTTCACTCGAACCGCGGGACACCTTGCTGCTAACTCCCCTCTCATTAGACTATAAGCCGTCTCTCTAGTCCCTTTAGGTCGCACCCAGGTTAGGGGTTAGGGTTCCGTAGGTCGTATCAACGTACGTCAGGGACTGCTGACGCAGGGGCGAACACTGTCGGCAAGGCGGACCCAACAGAATCCTCGGACTCGGACTCCAAGACTCCTTCTTCACCCTCACCCTCCTCAGGCTCAGGCTCTGGCGCAGGGTCTGGAGGGAGATCTCCTCGCGCTTGACTGGACTCGGTGACAGTTTGGGGAAGGCGGGAGGTAGGGGAGACAGGGCGAGAGTGCCGCGAGGCGGATCGAGACGCAAGGGTGCTTCGGGGTCCGAGCGGGTGTTGCGCTCGTCGGATCGCTTTGTAGTGTGGGTAGTCCTCTGGGATTGATCGGGGGGTTCGGTTCGGGCACGGCTGCTGTTCGCAACGGTAGATGATAGTCTCAGGACCGTCTGGGATGTAGACGTCGATAAGGTCCTGAGAGTCGAATGCGTGAACTTGGCCTTGGCAGGCAGCCATGTTGGATGGGGGGAGGAAGGGGAGGTGCGCGTACTAAAAATGGCCGTACTACACTAGCTTACGCTACGGCGCCCGAGAAGACCCTGAGGTTCGCAGTTCACGTGGGGCCCAGTACTGCTTTTGGCTAGTATGCAGCAGGAACCTAGTCCACGCGTCTGTGAGGACAAACACCGCCCACTGAAGTGCAGGTGTTGAAGAGTTCGTTCCTCTAGGGGTGGCGATGTATGTAAGGCTACCTACGTATCGTATGTACCGTAGGGTATTGTAGGGGTGCGCACCACCCGTCCTGTGGGAAAGGAAAGTGAATATAAGGGGTCCCGAGGGGACGCCGGCAGCTTGGGGAGTTTCGACCTAATGTCGCGACTTGAGGTCAAGCGACTGGGGGAAAACCTAAGGGCTGGGGGCATCCGACTAAGTCTTACCGAAGCGATGGTGAGCTACGCTCAAACCTAAGGCTAGGGACAAGTAAGTTAGCATTAGAAAGGTAAGTAAGTACATGAGCTTACTGACCTAGGGACAAGAGGTCGAAACTGAGGTCCCTAGGGCAGCAGAGGCCGGTTTATATACATGGGGAGATTAGGGCAGGCTGTGCGCGTTGGTCCGTGCGCAGCTGGTCCGTGCACAGCATGCTGACGTGGCCCCGGGGGCCGGTGAGTCAGAGCGGCTGTGTCAGCGGAGCCCGAGCTGTGCCGTGCACTGCCGTCCTATCTAATCTAATCGTACAGTAGATAGTGTCATGTCCATATCCGGTATGTAGTACAGAGGTCGCGGGTTCGAGCCCGCGAAAAGGAAAAAATTAAAAAACGGCTAGGCGCCGTACCAAGTCATGACAGTTTAGGCACCGACTCCTCGGCGGTCTTAATGACCTTCTTTTTGATCTCTTCTTCAGCGAACAGCTGGAAATACGTGTGCCCTGCTGCGACGAACAGCTGAGGAGCGCCGGGAAGCGTGACACCCTGCTCCCAGGCTTCGATCAAGTCGGCCTCATCCCATTCTACTTCCGCCGGATCTTCTTTGGGTTCGAAGTCCGGGAGCACCTTGCTCCGGCAGGCGCCTATGACCAGCCGTTTGGACTTCAGCAAACGCCTGCGCACCGTGGGCCTGCCCCCCGTATCATGCACAGTCGCTGCTTGCTCCATTCGGCCAATCCTCCTGGCACTGCACGTTTCAGAGCATCGCGACAATTTGAGGGAGCCTGACTCCCAATCGATTTCAGGGTTGTGCTCTCGCAGCCAATCCAACCCAATGATCACATCCTCTGGACCTATGTCCGTGACCGTGAACACCGTCTTCTCGACGTGTTCTCCTATGTGCATCTGTAGTACTGCTACTTCCGAGATGCTTCCGTCTTTGTTTAGGGTGCCATCGATATTGTACAGCGGAATCGGCTTTTTTAATTTCCGCGTTTGCACCTTATTTTCTTCAATGAATCGCTTATTGATAAACTTCGTGGTGGCTCCGCTGTCCACCATTGCAACTATATCTTTGTGCCATCTTTCTCCTTTAAGGCGCACTGGGATGTGGAAATGCTGGGACCCATGGTCCAATTCGTACACATTTGCGATCGCCAATACATTGTACAGATTATTATTACGAGGTCCGACGCATGCGGCACGAAGCGCGGACCGGATCAAAAAGATTCCTCCTTCATCGCCCGATAGTGCTCGAGCTCCTCGCGCATTGACTTCACCTGTGCCATTAAGTCCGCCAGCTCCAATGGCTCGGATTTTGCTGAAGCGGCACTTATACTTGCCGAGGGTGACGTCGTGACGGGGGCGCTTATCGCAGCCTGGGTGGAGCCCGAGGCAACCGTAGCCCGCGCATCGGCGCGTTTTGTGTAAGGTTTGTCCTTACAATTAGGGCACTCGAAACGTCGGTACCCTTGCTTCCCACAGCCGAAGCATGTGCCGGGGAAGTTTCCTTTTCTGACGGCCGCATTGATGCTGGCCGAAGCTGCGTGCGACTGGGGTGCACCACCACGTGCCCCACCGCGTCCTCGACCTCATGCCGAGAAGAAGTTGTTCAGCTCGGGCCGACGGGCCCGGCTGATGTCAAGGATCTGCTCGACCTCGATGGCGCGCTTTTCAGCTTCTTGCCACGTGGTGAAGGTCTCGAGCTCGATCTTTCGGTACACGTGGGAGGGGATGCCACTCAGGTACTTGTCGCGTAGCTCTAGGTCCCCATACCCAGAGCGATCAGCCGAACCCTTGAACAGCGCGGAGAATTCCGTGGCGGTGCATTTTTCACGGACTGATTTGTCCGCGCAGAGCTTCGCCAGCTCTACTTGTGCTGCCGCCTCGTCGTCGAGATTTCCGAAGTGGGCTTTGAAGGCGGCGGCAAAGGCCGCTTCGTTTGCGAACAGGGTCGTAGCCCCTTGCACCCCTATCTGTACCGACACGAGCTGGGCGAAGTAGGGGGTGGCCCAGGCGTGGGCGTCACCGTTGAGTAGGCTGAGCGCAACTTGTACCTTGAGCTCGATGGTGGTCAATGACATGTTGACCATCCAGTAGATGCGCAGTTGCGACAAGAACCTGTCACACTTGATGATGGTTTTGCCATCGTATCGGAGTGGGAGGAGGAGCTTTAATGTCTCCTTGTCGAGGGCGGCTGCAGGGGACGACATTATTGGCGTCGGGGGGGACGGAGGACGTTGCGGGGGCAGAGGCGGCTGTGATGGCCCTCTGCTGGTCGAACTTCGAGAGGAGCGAGTGCTCGAGCAGCCTCTCGGCGGAGACGGCAGTGAAGACGCCGAAGGAAGTTTGGTGGGGGGGGTCACGTACGTCAGGGACTGCTGACATGGAGGCGACCGCTGTCGGCGAGGTGGGCCGAGCAGGATCCGCGGACTCGGACTCCGAGACTCCTTCTTCACTCGCACTCTCCTCAGGCTTAGGCTCTGGCGCAGGGTCTGGAGGGAGATCTCCTCGCGCTTGACTTGGACCGGCGACAACAGTTTGAGGAAGTTGGGAGCTGGGGGAGACAGGGTGAGAATGCCACGAGGTGGATCGAGATGCGAGGGTGCTGCGGGGACCGAGGGGGTGTTGAGCCCTTCTGATTGCCTTGTAGCGAGGGTAATCCTCCTCGATCGATCGGGGTGTCCGATTTGGGCACGGCTGCTGCTCACAACGGTAAAGGACAGTCTCAGGGCCGTCTGGGATGTAGACGTCGATGAGATCCTGAGAGTCGAATGCGTGGATCTGGCCTTGATAGGCAGCCACAATGGATGGGGGGAGGACGGGGAGGTGCGCGTACTACAATGGCCGTGCTATACTAGCTTACGCTACGGCGCCCGAGAAGACACTAGGGTTCGCAGTTCACGTGGGGCCCAGTACTGCTGTTGACTATTATGCAGCAGGAACCTAGTCCACGCGTCCGTGAGGACAAGTACCGCCCACTGAAGTGCAGGTACTGAAGAGTTCGTTCCCTAAGTGGTGGCGATGTATGTACGCTATCTACGTATCGTAATGTACCGTAGGGGTGCGCACCACCCGACCTGTGGGAAAGGAAAGTGAATATAAGGGGTCCCGAGGGGACGCCGGCAGCTTGGGGAGTTTCGACCTAATGTCGCGACTTGAGGTCAAGCGACTAGAGAAAACTGAAAGGCTGGGGGCGTCCGACTAGATCTCACCGAAGCGATGGTGAGCAGTGCTCAAACCTAAGGCTAGGGACAAGAAAGTATATTAGTTAGTAGGGTAAGAAAAAGAATACAACTGTGGCTTACTGACCTAGGGACAAGAGGTCGAAACTGAGGTCCCTAGGGCAGCAGAGGCCGGCTTATATACATGGGGAGATAAGGGCAGGCTGTGCGCGCTGGTCCGTGCGCAGCTGGTCCGTGCACAGCTGGTCCATGCGCAGCTGGTCCGTGCGCAGCTGGTCCGTGCGCAGCTGGTCCGTGCGCAGCATGCTGATGCGGCCCTGGGGGCCGGTGAGTCAGAGCGGCTGTGTCAGCGGAGCCCGAGCTGTGCCGTGCACTGCCGTCCTATCTAATCTTGATTGTACAGTAGATAACGACGCATCCATATCAGGCATGTAGTACAGAGGTCGCGGGTTCGAGCCCGCGAAAAGGAAAAATTAAAAAACGGCTAGACGCCGTACCAAGTCGTGACACATAACTATGAAATCTACGATAAGGAGATGCTTGCAATCATCGAGGCACTGGATGATTGGTGCCACTATCTCGAGGGGTTACCCAATCAGTTCGAGATCATAACCGATTATAAGAACCTCGAATACTGGCGTACGTCCCAGCATCTCATGTGTCATCAAGCACGATGGTCACTGTTCCTGGCTCGCTTCGACTTCCGCATCACGCACAAGGCCAGGACGTCCAATGGAAAGGCTGATGCCCTGTCACGCCAATCAGACCATCAGACCGGCGATGAGGACGATAATACCAATCAGGTGGTTCTCAAACCTGAAAGGTTCCACATCGCCTCTGCCAGACATGGCCATGCCTCCGTGACAGCTGATCAGTCGCTTCTGAAGCGCATCCGGGAATGTTCGGAGAAGGATTGGGAGGTGGCCGAGGCACTGGAAAAGGTGCAGGACCTCGGGCCGCCCCGGCTGCAAAGGGGTTTTGAGGAGTGGAATGCCGAACAAGGGCTTCTGCTGTTCCGCGGATGCGTGTACGTCCCAAAGAACGCAGAGCTCCGGCGGGATATAGTCAAGATCCACCACGACTCGCCGATTGCCGCTCACGGTGGTCGTGCCAAAACCCTGGAGCTCGTGTCGCGGAACTATTGGTGGCCTGGGATGTCTAAATTCATTAATGAGTACATAAGCACCTGCGATGTGTGCAACCATACCAAGACATTCCCAGCCAAGCCCCAGGGTCCGCTGAAGCCAAACGAGATCCCCGAGCGCCCATGGCAGATCATCACGACTGATATGATCGTTGGCTTGCCAAAGTCTGATGGATTCAATTCGATCCTGGTCACTGCCGACCGCTTTACCAAGCAGGTCCACTTCTCGGCCTGTCATGAGACCCTGATGGCAGAAGGTGCGGCAGACCTGTACATCCGTGATGTGTTCAAGCATCATGGGGCCCCGGCCAAGGTTATATCAGACCAAGGTCCCCAGTTCGCTTCGAAGTATCTCCATGCGGTGTACAAGGGACTAGGGATCGAGCCGGTGCTGTCCACAGCATTCCACCCTCAGACAGACGGCCAGACTGAGCGCTGGAATCAGGAGATCGAGCAGTACCTGCGTGCTTTCACAAGCCACAGGCAGAATGATTGGGCAAAGCAATTGCCGCTCATAGAGTTCACACTGAACAACTGAGTTCACTCCGCGACTGGGCATTCCCCATTCTTCCTGCATCAGGGGTACCATCCTGAGATCCAAGTGTGGATCAATCCGATGTCCGCGATGCCCGCTGCCGCCGACCGCCTTAAGATCCTGAAGGAGATTTGCGACGATACGCGCTCTGCACTTGAGCTGTCAGCCGAGTGTATGAAAGTGTACTACGACAAGCACGTGCAGGAGGCACCGGTCTTTGCACTAGGGAACAAGGTCTGGCTTGATGCCCGGAACCTTAAGCTAAAACAGCCGAGCAAGAAGCTCAGTCCCAGGTGCCTCAGACCTTATGCCATGCGATGAAAGCTCGGAGACTTGGATTACAAATTGGTTCTGCCGAAGTCGGTGCCGGTGCACCCGGTATTCCATGTCTCCTTGCTTAGCAAGTACACGCGTAGCGAGATCCCAGGCCTGGAGCCGGAGGAGCCGCCTGCAATCGAGGTTGAGGGCGATGAGGAGTACGAGGTTGAGCGGATCAAGGATTCGAGAATCTTCCGGCGTCAGCTGCAGTACCTCGTCAAGTGGAAGGGTTATGACGACTCGCATACGTCATGGGAACCGGCGCGCAACGTTGCCAATGCGCCGGCCCTCATAGCCGACTTCCACCGGAAGAATCCGAACGCCCCTCGTCGACTCAACGCTGCTACCTTTGGTGGTCTCAACTTCCAGCCAATGCCTTCGCTGCTGACAGAAGCACGCTGCCGCTCCGGATGGGAGATGGGCAAGGGCGCCTCGCATGAGGTCATGCGCCATTGAGGGGGGGGTAATGTCACGACTTGGCACAGTGTCTAGCCGTTTTTTAATTTTTCCTTTTCATGGGCTCGAAACTGCGACCTCTGTACTACATACCGGATACGGACACATCATATCTACTGTACAATTAGATTAGATGGGGCAGCAGTGCACGGCACAGCTCGGGCTCCGCCGACACAGCCGCTCTAACTCACCAACCCCCGGGGCCGCATCAGCATGCTGTGCACGGACCAGCTGCGCACGGACCAGTGCGCACAGCCTGCCCTTATCTCCCCATGTATATAAGCTGGCCTCTGCTGCCCTAGGGACCTCAGTTTTGACCTCTTGTCCCTAGGTCAGTAAGCCCCTCATGTATTTTCTTTCTTACTTACTTAACTAACTAATACATTTCTTGTCCCTAGCCTTAGGTTTGAGCCTAGCTCACCATCGCTTCGGTAAGAACCAGTCGAACGCCCCCAGCTTTTAGGTTTTCCCCAGTCGCTTGACCCCAAGTTGTGACAATCAGGGAGGATCTGCGCGACTTGCATTGAGAACCAATAATACAAATGCCCAGTATGTGCTTCGGCTTGCTTGAGCTCATGTTCTGTAGAGTTCCCCAAACGGTTGATGTTCGAAACGTACATGTACATGAGCTATTGCTACTCGGTTTTCCCTCGGAAATAGTGTGGCACTCGACCCGCCCTCGCTCGATGATTCCTGATGCATCGCGTCGTGCTCAATCTTCTTAGTCGCTGTCCTTTATGCTCCTGCCGTACATGGAGCCCTTCCTTGGCCGCACAAGCACTCTGGTCCTTCCCGGCGGATAGCTCGGTGTCTCCTCTGGCTTTTGTCAACATTTACTCGATCAGTGCGTTTTCTCCTGTAGATATGTTTGGAGCATGCACATCCTGTTAGCAGCCGTGCTGGTCGTAGTCACGTCGCTTTGCAAAACCACACGAACAGTGCTTGGCACACAAATGTGGGTCCTTGAGCAAAGTGGACCTGCGGTGTCAGATCATACACGATTACCCTATCTCTCCCTCATAAACAGAGGTGGAGCATGAGATATTAGACTAATAGATGTTCTGTTTCTATTCAGTCGTCTTGTCTGTAGATCCGTAGTCAATCAAGTCTTCACCTGAGGGCCTGTTGAGATTCGGAACATAACGAGACTGGTACATACACCGCGATATGGTCAAGCGAGCTCATTCAGATGAAGAATTGCACTACCTCAAGATTTAAAAGCGCTATTAAACAGCGGTCAACGACTATGCGAGACCAACTAATTGAAGTAGAATTCTGAGAATGTTGTGTGACAAAGGGACCAGTGATTGTGCATTGTTGCCATCGGCCAGGTGAGCTTACCCGTGCCTGGCCCATCGTCTGCGGGAAGACTTGAACTAATCAGGGGCGCGGAACACAGGCTCACAGACCCGCCGTGAATGTGCTTTAGGACCCAGGACTCGGCGCGTGTGGGGTGAGACAAGTGTAGACGCCCATCCATGAAGGGGGCTTACTACGAGGCTGAGCATGCGCGCTATGGCAAGTGCGCGACTGTGAGGTCAGTCAATGTTCTTCTTGGATGTTCACGCGTCGACAAGGAAGCATAGCCAATCAGCGGTCTATTGGTCTTACGAAACGCCGCTCAAATCTGGCTGTACTAAAGAACGAAGCAGGAAACGGAAATGCGGCTGGATCCTACATACAGGACCACACTGCTTTGGAGTCAACAACGGCTATCTGTAGGACAAACTTACTTGGTAATTGCAACAGCATGCCCGTCAACTTATTCCAGGGGACGGGGACAACATTGCCCATGTCATCCACTACGATCCTGAATACGGTGAGCTCGTATGCTGTGGGTCTGCCAGATAATTGACAGTCTCCTAAGCATCACAAAGAGCTAGCATCTCGTCTGGCGCGTGCGATGTCGTTATCGCAAGCTAGGGAGCCAAGGACACAGCAAGGATGAACTTAGTTAAGATGATTGTGATCGGGCGAGGCCGCCCATACACGAATTCCGCCTGGCGCAATAACACCAGTTCCATGTGGCCTTTCCTGTACATATTAGTCGAGGCGAAGCTTGCGAGCATAATCTAGTCAGTTCACCATTCATGAGCGTGTGGGCAAGGACGAATCAATTGGCAAAGGTCGTTAACAGCGATTCTTCACGCGGAGAGAACCGGCAGGTGCCCAAAACCAGACGCGATCGATCGGCCAATGAAATTCGTGAGAGTGGAGCATAGTTAGCTTCGAACGATGGCTCCCACTTCTGCAGGAGAAGCTGCGCGCCACAGAAAACAATATAATCTGTGAGACTACTCTGGCTGCTCCAGCAACCGTCACAAGTCGTGCCGCATACATCTGACCCAACGATTACACACTCACACTCCGCATACCTGCTATGACTGACTCCTATGCTTGGCCTCCTCATCCTGAGTCATGACCGTCCACTCCTTGTCCTTCAGCCACATGCTCCAAGTCTTGGATCTAGAGCACGTCCATGACAATGCCCAACGAGCCTGCGCCTCCGTAGTCCCCGTTCTCAGCATTTTCCACCATCACATTCGCGCTGAACTATCCATTATCGCAGGTGTCCTTAAAATCGTATCTTATATCACTCCAATTGGAGTGTATTGCATAGTTGCCAACGCGCTCTACATCTCCAGCTAGCGAGATTCATCATCTGGCTGAATCAGTCTGACCTTACACGCATTTCATGTCTCATTTTAGGCATGCTCCAATCTCCAGCAGACCCTCAAGTATAGACTTAAGAGCCTCCAGGTGAGACGACCGAGTAGTGGTAGACCATGCACGAACCTCACCTTTCGTGACCCAGCTCTGCTTGCGGAGAAGAGGTTAATCGTTCGTGATCTGACGCTACAGAGCGGCTCGAGGACACATATTTGTGTGCCGAAATACCGCTCGTGTGGATTCACAAGGGGACGACTGAGTACGGCGCGTATGACTGCTTATGCATTCACTTAGAAAGACGTGCAGTTGGTTTGGAGGGATCGACGAGAACGAGAGCACCGACGTTGCCACATGATGGCTCGATGCGCGGCGCGAGCATAAAGGATAGCGACTAGGAAGATCGATTTCCTGAAGACGGCACGAGGCGCCAGGATTCGTCCAACGAGCCCGTCGCACTATTGCTGAATGAGGAAGCCGAGTAGGTGCTTCTCTCATGTACACAACAGGCCAAATACAGACAGTTTCGGGAACTCTGCAGAGGGCTAGGAAACGTGAGCTCAAGCAATCTGGGCCACATACAGGGTTGTTGTACTATCGGGTCTCAGTGCGTGTCGCGCTGGTCCTCCTTGATATGGTCAAGGCGGCAATCCCAACATATGGACCGCGCGGTCGTTCCGACTGGAATGATCTTGGGTCGAGGCAGCAATCTCAGCACATGGACCGCGCCGTCATCTCACGTGACTAATTATGAGACATTCGGGCGCCCAGTACGTGGGCCATTTGGGGTGCGAGACCGAGCAACAGAGGGCGGCGTGCTATCATTCAGCCTGTCCAGCGAGGAAGCGGTGGGGTATAAAGCGATCACCTGATTGTGCAGGGACGCGTGGGTCGCCTATGAGCGGGTATATGAGTGCAGCGCCACAATTCAACTGAGCTGCCGCGCAGGTTTATGCCGGTCTCATACCCGTCTCATCCCTTAATCTAGCCGTGGAACTGAGTCAGGAAACGCGTGCGCAACCCATAAAATACATTCCTTACCTAAGATTTGCGGTAGCCGCGGCTTACTTGCAAATGCGACTCCTAACGATAACACGAGGAGGTATCTGAGGCGGTCAATAGGACGAGTTGAATGATGCGCATGGCTTGAAAAAACTGACGGTTTGTGCTGACTATACAACATGTGGTTTGGGTATTGCAGTGATAGATCCTAGACTTCGTGTGAGGTGAAGTATTGAACACATATGGAAGAACATACCATCAGTCCGTCGTGGGATTGATAGTCGCAGAGAAGGTTGGATTGTAATGGCCACGGCTTCTGCCAAGTGGCATCAGCTGCTATGCCTGATCATGACGACAGAGGAGAAATTACGATTTGGTCCGGAGACTAGAATCCACTGATGGTAGTTGCGGAATCGAGGGTCGGAGAAGGTGGTTTGCGGGAACGATCGCCATCGGTGGCACATGCTTGCGGTTTCCATATTCAACAGATCGACTGTCGCTTCCTATTCGCTGAAGATAGACAGATTCCTATACAGAGAGCCGACGCCCAAGGGCTGGTCTACGTAGGGCCTAAACTGCCCTTGAGTCAGTCGCCGGCATCGAAGCGCTGTCGGACACACATACGGGTATATTGTCTCACACGTTCGGGGGATGTCATCATGCTGCTAGCAGTTGTGAAGCAGCACGGCCCATTCTCCTCGAGTGTGCTAAGCACTCCCGGGTTTGAAAAGCTAAGTCAATCTTGATGTCTGGCGGTTACACAGCGTTCAGGTATGTTGTGAGGGAGTCGTTACTTGAAGAACCAGAACCTGCGTGCCAAACATCAGTGAACGGAATAAGACGGGGCACGCATTAAACATACCGGATATTTCCATGGAGGATGTACCGACTGCTTATAGACGCTATTTTGCGTCTCGCAAGGACCACGCGTATAGTTACCGCGGATGCCGGAAGAAAACTCTGAGATGCAGCCGATAGCCCGACTGAAAATGAGGGGACCAGGACAACGTGATGTGCTTCAGTGCAAGTGTACATCCCGCCCCTTGCCGTCAATCGCCACGCATGGTTCGGCAGCACATCTAGCTCATCCGTGCGGATCGGATATCTCAGTATCGGTCCATTGCCGCATGTATATCGACGTGACGACAGAAGCTCCAATCGCGATAGCGGGTCGATGAGGTTCGATTGTTCAACAGACCATTCTGAATATTCATGACCTGGCGAGCACGTGCAAATGCGGTCAGATGGGGTATATGGCTAGGTGTCAAGACTCGGGCCGTATCTGGAACATTTCAGTTCGGACGAGATGACGTCAGCTACACTGTCACCTGCAGATTTACCAGAGAACGTACTTTGCAAAATAATTTTCCACCAACCAAGGTTTTTGCGCAGCAGGCAGCACATCGCCGGCTTCCTCCTGTCGATAAGCGAGCAACTCTGCATCCTCAGGTTCCGCAGGCGGTCCCATCGTCCACTCGTCTCGAGCCTGATCGCAATCCCAGCGCCACTTACGGACGCTAACCTCGCAGTGAGAATCTTCCTGCGTGGTATTGACCTCAATGTCTGCCCTGGTGTCGCCAGATCGTTTCCTCTTTATCCCTGACACAATTGGCCGAAATGGGCGAGCAAAGCGGAATACGTCGTCATCCGACAGGGGAGGGCAATATTCGTTCAAGGAGCAGCGGAAATAACCATCAGGGAAGGGTGTGAGCTCGTCTGTCGCCCACAACCGCCTGCCGTGTACTGCCTCGCGATGCAGGGGGGCCGTCCACAACTTATACCGGGAGACTATGCTGTGTGTATGATTGACCTCCTTGTGGGGGAGCAGCTCGCGCAAGATATGCTGGTAGTGGAACGGTCGCTTGCTCAATTTCTGTCCCGCCCGAAATACCATGCGACCGATATTTGCATTAAACTCATGCCACCCGAGCGATCGATATGAGCATGGGGCCGTCATGACAGAAGGTGTGATCGGGTTACCCATGGTAGCACATGAGTCTGGAGGGTGCTCGTCCTCTGCGATGACGCAATACTTATAAACCTGTATGACCGTAAGTGCGGCGATTGGCCAAGAGGACATACTGATACATACAGTGCAATGTTGAAGCTTCTTCAAATGATCAGGATGGGGTATCATCAACAAACGGTTTGTTTCCCACAGCTCTCGGAGGTCGCGTCGAACTGCGCACAGTATGTGAGGCGACAAACGACGGCTCAAACGTGGAAATTGCGCACGGAATATAATATTCCCAGGTGCGTGACAACGCACGGTGTTGTAGTTGCCACGCATGTTGGTAATCAAATTATCGAACTTCCCATTCATCTTGTCAGTCACAAAAGCCAAAATAACAGCCATACCTACTCACCAATCGCTGAGGCATGTCTAGAGGCCAGATATAGCACCCCTCTACATCGGCAGACACGCAGCCGGTGATCATGCACCGCGGGTGGGGTCCGAAAAAAACGCCATCCTCGACCTTGGACGTCTCAGTTGTAGGGACCGACATTCGCATTCTTTTGGCAGGGGGGACTAAATTAATATCTGTGTCCGGGTTCCGTTTTCGCTTCCGCGGGCGGGGGATGTCTTCGATTGGCAACTTTTGATCAATGTGGGGGGAGACCGGCTCGACTGCATCCGGGTGGACGAGCGTGATGATGGGTATATGCATAAGAGCGTCTATAGGTAACAAATGTTCGTAGTGGAGCGGTCGCTTGATGAATTCACGACCCACTCGAATTGTCATCAGATGCAGATTAGCACTCAGCTCGTGCCATCCCAGTGAGCGATACGAGCAAGCAGCGGTCGTAACTAGAGACAAAGTGGTATAATCCTTGGGGATGCACGAGCTTGAAGGGTGGTCATCTTCTACAACGACGTAGTATTTGTGGACCTACTTGACGGTGAGCGCAGCGACCATTTGAGGCGATGTACGATACATACAGGGCGGGTATCGGGGTGGTCTATATGATCGGGATGGGGTATCATCAATAGGCGGCTTGTTTCCCATAGTATGCGGAGGTCACGTCGAACTGCATGTGGGTTGTAAGAGAAGGGGACACAGGTTGGAGATGAGCAAGTACGAACGGAATATGATGTTTGCAGGCGTGCTACAACAGACGGAATTAGACTCAGTAGGCATGCAGAGCATCGTGCAGTCGTCCTACAAAGCTGCCTTGTCAGCCGGGAGGCCGAAGCAGTAATCACCCTACTCACCAACGGCGTGTCAGGAGGCAGGATATAGCACGCCTCCACCTCAGCAGACACGCAGCTCGTAATCATGCATCTGGGGTGAGGTCCAAAAGGAATCCCGTCTTTGAGCTTCGACGCGTCGCTCGGACTGTCAGACAATCGCCTTCTTTTAACACAGACTTCGTCGGCCGTCGTGTCTGCACATCGTCTGCGCTTCGGCGGGCGAGCGATAGTTTCAAGTGGTACGTGTGTGTCAATACCGGGGGCGACCGGGGGATCCGCGTCAGGTTCGACGACCCAGTCGTGGATGGGTATATGCCCAAGACCGATACAAGCGCGGTCCTCGGCCTTGGTTGCGTCGTTCGAAGTGCCAGACGTCCGCGCCCTCTTTGCGCAAACGTCATAGGTGCTTGTGTCCGCGCTTCGCTTCCGTTTCAATGGACGGGAGGCGTATTCTAATGACGGGTCCACTGCATCGGGCTCGACGTCCCCGACACTCGTGCAGTCGCTGATGGGTGTATGGCCAAGACCGAAGAACGCGCCGTCATCAACCATGGTTGCATCGCTCCAAACATCAGGCGGCAGCGCGCTCTCTGCGCGGACTTCATCAGCCCTTGTGTCCGCCAACCGCCTCCGTTTCAGCGGACGAGTGATGTCTTCTGGTGGCGAGGAGTCCGCGTCTGCTTCAACAATCCTGGTGTCCGTGCCTTCGCCAGCGTGTGTATGCTTATAATAGTCATCAAAAGAGATAGATGGTGCACGACTGACTCCAGAAGTGGGTGTAGCGGGTCGAGAGCTTTCGCGTGAAGAGGAGCTGCCAGTGTCGTCCGAAAGCGCGGGAGTACATATATCGCGTGGGGGATGCTCAGCAGCGCGCGTATGAGACGTGTCAGGAATCAGGATGTAAAGGTCATTCATTTGTGTCGACTGTATCGCGAGTTCAGCAAAGTAGTGACGATGGTGTAGCGCGAACAGCGAGCGCCACCAGTGCCCTTAGCGGGTGCTTAGTCAGCGCTACTCTCCGAGTTCCCCGAGACTAACAATCCTTGACTGGTGTAGTCGATTGAGTGTACAATCAATTAATTCTCAGTGCGTTTGTGGGCGGACATAATCTGTACGCTCTCGTATATGTCCGTCTGCGCCTTGTGATACACAATTTAACACTCTGAATGTTTTCATACAATACGTCGCAAGCCCTCTGTGTGAGATCGTGGTCGGAGTCCGGGTCAGTTTATCTTGACTTTGCAATCTGTTTCGTATTTCAGAGATGCTCACATTCTACTTCTGCTCAGATGTAGTCCCTTGCTTCTCACGGAACAAGTTCCGTCTTTTGATAGAGAGTATCCCTCAACACCTTGCACAGAATCCCTTGTAGACAGTACGTGTGAGGACATTCGTACCTGACCTCCCGTGCTCATCGTCAGCATTCGTCTGACTCTGTTCCATGAGTGTTGCGACTCATGACACAGGTAGAACCCTTCTACATCCTTGAGTATACGTAGGAAATGTTCGTAGCCTCTGGCAGACACGGGCGGCGTGCGGTGTCAATTCCAGCTTCTTGTTGGATGTGTCAATGAGTCAATAGTTGCAGCTTTGTCGTCAATGCCATCCTATACTCTTCCCTATCACCCATTTTATGATTCTGCGGTGAGAACATGGGTTTTTGAGGCGGACAGACACAAACGTCTCACCCGGGAATGCGTCGCGCTAGTGAGGTCGTTCAACATGTCGGAGGTGAGTTTTGTTCCTTTTCGTCGAGTCTTCCGCAGACTGACTGTGCGGTTCTGATTCAGCAAATGACAAGCGTGCCTCCTTATGCGACCTTGATAGTGTGTCTCACCGGTCAGCGGGGCACGGTTCCCGCGCCTCAGATGGTGCATTTGATATCACAACTCCAGAACACACCTCGCACAGACCATGCAGATTAGGTAATATGCGGGAGGTCGCCAGTCACCGACCCGCGTCGACGATGGCTACAATATCCAAGTTGGAATACAATGGCCTCTGTGGCCTGTGGTCACGCGCTTTGCAACATAATATGAACTCAGCAAAAGCCGCTCGAGCCACACACTCTCGCAGTCTCTTCCTTCACCCCCCCTTCACCCCTCACCTCATCTCCGAAAATCCCCTAGCCATGGTTGACAGCTTGGAATTGAGACGATCTGATAGACTCAAAGACTTGGATCCAGGTACGGCTCCTCGTCGTTACCGTTGACCGCTTTGCCCTGACTGTGGCCCGGCCACAGTTGACTACGACGAGTGCAGCATCAGTGGCTCCCAGCCCGAGTCCGAACCCAAGCCTGCGTATAGAAAACGGAAAAGGGAAATATCAGACGACGGAAGCAATTATACGCCGTCTAGGGAAGGCACGCCGGTCAATGACACTCCGAAGACCCCAAAACGGAGAGTGAGTCGCAAGTACGGCATTACAAGTGGTGCACGACAGCGAGCGGTCAAGGCGTCCCGGAACGGAGGTGCCTGTATTATATCAGGCTTGAAGGACAAGTCAGTGCAACAGTGCCATGTCTTGCCACGCGCCACAGACGCGTCTATCGTAAGTTGAAGTGGCTCCTGTGCGGAGGCGGCGTATCTGACGGTCTACATACACGCGTGCATAGCTCACATCTCTGGAGTGGTGGTGGGGCATCAAAAAAGAAGGACTCAACGTAGATTCTAGCCGCAATATGGCTTTCCGTGCGTCTTCGTTCTCGGAGGCATGTCGATACGCGAGTGCTTACTTGCACACAGTTCGTGGCGACCTCCATGTATTGTGGGATCGCGGAGACATTCTTATTGCTCCGATGCCCGACGTGGTGGACGCATATGTGGGCAAATACAAAGATGGTGAAAGACACGGCATTTTGGAGGTGGGTCGCTGCAAGCTATTCATTTACGACTGATGAGAATCGTCGCCACGATGCGTATAGGTCATCGGCAAGAAGAAGATCCACAGGTACTGTGTGATCCCCCACCCTAGCCTTTCAGGTGGCGCACGTTCTAGGGCAAACCGTGCAATCCGCCAAGAGTTCACCAACGGGTTCCACAAGCTCAAATTCGTGCCGTCCCATGCGCAGCCACACTTCATGATCATGAATGCCGCCATAAAGATCATGGAGAACAAAGAGCTGTGGGTGAAGGGTCTGGAGGAATTCTACGAAAGAATTCATCTCAAAATCGACGCATCCCGCTTTGTGGAAAACATCTTGAGATTGAACGCCTTGTGGACTGCGCCACCACCGGGAAAGGCACAATTGATAAGGAAAGAGGAACATATGTCAGTGAACACACTTTATCTGTGGCAATGCAACCACTGACACTCATCTCGTTCGTAGGCTCCCTATGAACATCCCGCCAGGCGTACAAAGGACGCCTGAAAGGCCCAAGGGTACGTTGTTATGCATTGCCTTGTTATGTGCCACGGACTGACCTGAACATCTATAGGTCTTGTACATGACAAAGACCGCAAACTGAAAGCCCGCAAGTCCAACGGTGAACCGCGCGCTAACAACCTCAAGTCGCAGGTCGCCCAATTGGCACCTACTGGATCACGGTGCTTGTTGACCCATCAAGACGACAAGTCGATTCAGGGATGTCACGTCATTCCGCGAAGAACCGACGATGATTTGGTAAGTCACCAATAGTCTGCGGTGGCTTTCGCGCGACTTTAACTCGGGTGCATCCGTGCATGTAGCGTAAGCGGCTGGCAGCATGGTGGGGACTTGAAGATTTCGACATCAACACGCCTTTCAACCTTTTCTTGCGTGAGTGTATATATCCCAATCGCTCGACGTAGCCCTGACTCAGACCCCACATAGTAAGGGCCGATCTTCACTCCTTGTGGGACAAAGGGCATATTATCTTCGTGCCTGAGCCTCAGATCCTCGATGAGTTTCCTGCAGGATCCATTGCTCCAATCAAAGTAGGCGTGGTGAGTGAAGGGACAGGGTATAGACATGGTATATTGCTCACCGTGCTATCCAGCCGCTCGACAAACCATTTAGAGTGTGCAGTGGTCCCCTTTACAGATACTGCGTCGTCGCACATCGCGACCTTCCCCGCACAGAAGAAGATAGTGATTTTCCGAGGGCCCTCGACACCGTGGGTTGGGTGGTATCCCGCGTTCCTCCTCAATTCGTCACGTTCAACGCCGGTCTGGCGCTATCGAAGGGTGACGGGCCACGTGGATTCGAAAGAGCTCTAGACGCCTTTTACAAGGAGCACAAGATTCAATATGAAGCGCTCAACGTACTCACTCGTATGAAAGGTTTCTTCGACCAATGGCTAACAGACGCAGGCGACGCTGCGGAAGAAGCCTTTTGGGAGGACTAACTGTTTCGATTGGTGCGTCGGCTATACTTCATTCATACTCATACCTAACGGATGCGATCCTAGCTGGATTCAAGAGCTCTGCGTGTTATCGGGCAATGCTGGGTGTAGGGCGCCCGTCAGGCCTTATGGGGCCTTATGGCCAGTTCGGACATGAGAAATATGCCGTGATATGGCTAATCATCTATGCTCCATTATGTAGTATCCCATCGTACAGTTATCCGTGCATTTCTTCTACTTCATGTCTGTGAGGGGTCAACTAATCACATCGCTACTCGTCAAACCACATGAGAGAGCGGCTACGTTATTCACCCCGGGTACTCGCAGTACGCAAACGGTTTATGAATGTCGTTTGCTTATTTGACGCTAGTAGATTTCAAATTTTAGTCCGCCAACATGGCCTTTGAAACAACAGCATTTATCCTTGTCATGCGCTCTATGAGCGGTATCGCGGCACACAACCCGTGCTCATTCGGAGATTGTCAATACCCCGGCAGACTCAGCGCAAACGAGCTTACCATATTCAGGATCGCAGTGGATGATATGGGCAACGTTGTTCTCATCCTCTGGGAATTAGTTGACGGGCCTAGTGTTGGCATTGGTAAGCACGTTGTTCCTAAAGAGAGTCATTGTTAATTCCAGGATAGCCTGACCCTATATGCTATGTTTATGCTCTTGCGTTGTTCTGTGACACAGCCAATTTTGCGGCAATTATCTGCACCGATTGACCGCTGATCGGCTATGCGTCCTCGTCGACGAGTGAACATCCAGGAAGACCATTTACCGACCTTACGGTTGCGTATTTGCCACGGCACTCATTTTCAGCTTCATTTTCAGCCTCCCTCGTCGTCGTTTGACGTCTAGAATTGTCCCACTCCGCACGCTGCGAGCCTCATGTCCAGAGCACACTCACGGTGAGCCTGCGAGCCCGTGATTCGCGTTCGTGATGGTGTCCTCTATCATATATGCCCTGAGGTACCCATTGGTACGAGTTTTCCTGCAGACGCTGGACCAGGTACGGGTACAGTCGATTTGCACTCGCTCGACGAACGGTACGTGTCTTGACTCTCGATGATGCTACCCGTGTGAACGACTCACAATCGCCGGCTCGTTTGTCACAGTACCTTTATAAGCGCGCCTTCAATGATTCAAATTATGTAGTACATTGTATTATGCATAGCTGTTGATGCTCTGCCAAGTAGGCCTCGAGATATAAAGGTAGCGCAATCCATGATTTGTTCGACGACTTTGTTCGTCCTTATCGCGGTTGTGCTCAGAAACCCAGCAGGCTCTCAGTTGGAAACTTACAGACTACACACGAGAAGACCGAAAACTGACCGAACATTATACTTCGTGATCTACATTGGTGAGGTGAGCGATCAACAGATAGGCTGAGATTCAATACTCTGACGCTGCAGAGTCTTTATTCCGCAGGTCCTCTAGTTATGTACCAATTCTCTGTCCACGTGGGTTTGCAAAGAAGCGTGGGTGCAGCCAGCCCGGCTGCCAACACATTCGCTGAGTGAGGGCTTAATGGCGGTGCGAGGTGCAAGGATAGCAACTAAGAAGATCCGAGTCTTAGCACGGTACGAGAGGCGAGCGCGTCGCACTGTTGCCGAAAACGGAACCCGAATAGGTACTTCTCTCATGTATAGTACAGTTCACACACAGACAGTTCTAGGAACTCTACAGAAGGTTAGGGAGTGTGAACTCAAGCAAGCCGGGCCACATACTGGGCGGTTTAATATCAGGCTTCGGTGCGCATCATGCCGATCCTTTTTGGTAGGGTCGAGGCGGCAATCTAAGCATATGGACCGCGCGGTCGTTAAGCTTGGATTGCTCTTGAGCCATTCGGGTGCACAATACGTGGGTTATTCAGAGTGCGAGGCGATGCACTCATTCAACCCGTCAAGAGAGAAAGCAGATGGGTATAAAGCGATCACCTGGTCGTGCAGGGGTGCGTGGTTCTTTTTCGGCGACCTTGAGGTCCGATGTCTCTCCGCGACGGTGCCAGAATATTTTTGTACTCGGGCGTGCATCAGGAAAACCGGACGTTGCTGACGCGCTGACCTCAGCGATTCAGAGCCCTCAGCAGCTCAGCGGACACAATCGCTCCGTTCAGCAGGCTCAGCATCTCAGCCGGGCTCTGTATGCCATAATGTAATACAAGCTATATAAGTTAACTAATTCTGAGACAACTTAGTATCGTAATATTGGTACAGGCACTCATGTGAATGATAATCTGCATATTTGTTTACATAGGCATCTGCAAACTCGACAATGCCTATGCAGGTCTCGCATAGTGTCACGAGTTGGTACGGCGTCTAGCCCTTTTTTAATTTTTTCCTTTTCATGGGCTTGAACCCGCGACCTCTGTACTACATGCCTGATACGGACGCATCATATCTACTGTACGATTAGATTAGATAGGACGGCAGTGCACGGCACAGCCCGGGCTCTGCTGACACAGCCACTCTGACTCACCGGCCCCCGGGGCCACGTCGGCATGCTGTGCACGGACCAGCTGCGCACGGACCAGCGCACACAGCCTGCCCTTATCTCCCCATGTATATAAGCCAGCCTCTGCTGCCCTAGGGACCTCAGTTTCGACCTCTTGTCCCTAGGTCAGTAAGCCTCCCTTTGTATCTTTTTCCTTACTTCACTAACTAATACATTTACTTGTCCCTAGCCTTCGGTTTGAGCGTCGCTCACCATCGCTTCGGTAAGAACCAGTCGAACGCCCCCAGCATCCTTCAAAGTCTGTGTGTTCCCCCTGTCGCTCGACCCTAAGTCGCGACATTAGGTTGAAACTCCTCACTGCTGCCGGCGTTCTTGGAACCCACACACTCATTTCCTCTCCTATAGGTCGGGTGGTGCGCACCCTCACTATACCTTACGATACGTAGATAGCCTACTATACATCGCCAACACTCGAGAGACGAACTCTTCAGTACCTGCACTTCAGTGGGCGGTACTTGTCCTCACGGACGCGTAGCCTTGGTTCCTGCTGCATAATAGTCAAAAGCAGTATTGGGCCCTACGTGAACTGCGAATCTCAGTGTCATCTCGGGCGCTGTAGGTGTAAGCTAGTATAGCACGGCCTTTCGTAGTACGCGCACCTCCCCTTCCTCCCCCCATCCAACGTGGCTGCCTGCCAAGGCCAAGTCCACGCATTCGACTCACAGGACCTCATCGACGTCTACATCCCAGACGGTCCTGAGACTATCATCTACTGTTGCGAGCAGCAACCGTGCCCGAACCGAACCCCCCGATCAATCCCAGAGGACTACCCACACTACAAAGCGATCCGACGAGCGCAACACCCGCTCGGACCCCGAAGCACCCTCGCATCTCGATCAGCCTCGCGGCACTCTCGCCCTGTCTCCCCTAGCTCCCGTCTCCCTCAAACTGTCGTCACCGATCCAGATCAAGCGCGAGGAGATCTCCCTCCAGACCCTGCGCCAGAGCCAGAGCCTGAGGAGAGTGAGGGTGAAGAAGGAGTCTCGGAGTCCGAGTCCGAGGATTCTGTTGGGTCCGCCTTGCCGACAGCATTCGCCCCCGCGTCAGCAGTCCCTGACGTACGTGACCCCCCCGCCGAACTTCCTCCGGCGCCTTCACTGCCGACTCCGCCAAGAGGCCGCTCGAGCACTCGCTCCTCTCGAAGTTCGGCCAGCGGAAGGCCACCACAGCCGCCTCCGCCCCCGCAACGTCCTCCGTCCCCCCCGATGCCGATAATGTCGTCCCCTGCAGCCGCCCCCGACAAGGAGACCCTGAAGCTCCTCCTCCCCCTCCACTATGACGGAAAAACCGTCATCGAATGCGACAGGTTCCTGTCGCAACTTCGTATCTACTGGTTGATCAACATGTCGTTGATGACCATTGAGCTTAAGGTACAAGTTGCGCTAAGCCTGCTCAATGGCGACGCCCGCGCCTGGGCCACGCCTTACTTCGCCCAACTCGCATCAGTGCAGCTGGGTGTGCAAGGGGTTACAACCCCCTTCAGGAACGAAGCGGCCTTCACCGCTGCCTTCAAGGCCCGCTTCGGTAATCTCGAAGATGCGGCAGCAGCACAAGTGGAGCTGGCAAAGCTCTGTGTGGACAAATCGGTCCGCGAAAAATGCACCGCTGCGGAGTTCTCCGCGCTGTTCAAGGGTCCGGCGGACCGTTCCGGGTATGGGGACCTGGAACTACGCGACAAGTACCTGAGCGGTATCCCCTCCCGCGTGTATCACAAGATCGAGCTCGAGACCTTCACCACGTGGCGAGCCGCTGAAAAGCGAGCCACTGAGGTCGAGCAGATCCTCGACATCAGCCGGGCCCGTCGGCCCGAGGTCGAGGTCGCGGTGGGGCACGTGGAGGTGCACCTACGACACACGCAGCTTCGGCCAGCATCAATGCGGCCGTCGGAAAAGGAGACTTCCCCGGCACATGCTTTGGCTGCGGGAAGCAAGGGTACCGTCGTTTTGAGTGCCCTAATTGTAAGGATAAACCTTACACAAAACACGCCGACGCGCGGGCTACGGTTGCCTCGGGTTCCACCCAGGCAGCGACAAGCGCCCCCGTCGCTTCATCCTCGGCAAGTACAAGCGCCGCTTCAGCGAAATCGGAAAGTTCCGAGCTGGCGGACTTAATAGCACAGATGAAGTCGATGCGCGAGGAGCTCGAGCACTATCGGGCAATGAAGGAGGAGTCTTTTTGATCCGGTCCGCGCTTCGTGCCGCACGTGTCGGGCCGCGTAATAATAATCTGTACAATGTATTGGCGACTGCGAATGTGTACGAGTTGGACCATGGGTCCCAGCATTTCCACATCCCAGTGCGCCTTAAAGGAGAAAGACGGCACAAGGATATAGTTGCAATGGTGGACAGCGGAGCCACCACGAAGTTTATCAATAAGCGATTCATTGAAGAAAATAAGGTGCAAACGCGGAAATTAAAAGAGCCGATTCCGCTGTACAATATCGATGGCACCCTAAACAAAGACGGAAGCATCTCGGAGGTAGCCGTGCTACAGATGCAGATAGGAGAGCACGTCGAAAAGACGGTGTGCACGGTCACGGACATAGGTCCAGAAGATGTGATCGTCGGGTTGGATTGGCTGCGAGAGCACAACCCCGAAATCGATTGGGAGTCAGGCTCCCTGAAATTATCACGATGCCCTGAAACGTGCAGTGCCAGGAAGACTGGCCGGATGGAGCAAGCAGCGACTGCGCGTGATACGGGGGACAGGCCCACGGCGCGCAGGCGTTCGCTGAAGTCCAAACGGTTGGTTATCGGTGCCTGCCGGAGTAAGGTACTCCCAGACTTCGAACCCGAAGAAGATCCGGTGGAGGTAGAGTGGGATGAGGCCGATTTGATCGAAGCCTGGGAGCAAGGTGTCACGCTTCCCGGCGCTCCTCAGCTGTTCGTCGTAGCAGGATATACGTACTCCCAGCTGTTTGCTGAGGAGGAGATCAAAAAGAAGGTCGTTAAGACCGCCGAGGAGTCGGTACCTAAACAGTACCACGAGTTCCTGAATGTCTTCTCCAAAGAAGCATCAGAACGGTTACCCGAAAGGAAGCCATACGATCATGCGATCGAACTCGTGCCCGGTTACTCGACCTTCCACTCTAAGGTGTACCCCTTGTCGAACAACGAGCAGGAGGAACTAGACAAGTTCCTAAAAGAGCAACTAGCGAAAGGCTACATACAGGAGTCGAAGTCGCCCATTTCATCCCCCTTCTTTTTCATTAAAAAGAAGGAAGGGACGCTTCGACCTGTACAGGATTACCGCCGATTGAACGTGATCACGGTCAAAAACCGTTATCCCTTGCCGTTGATCGCCGAGATGGTGGATAAGCTCCGCGGCGCTACGCTCTTCACAAAGTTCGACGTCTGATGGGGATACAATAACGTCCGGATCAAGGCCGGTGACGAATGGAAGGCGGCCTTCGTGACTAACCGAGGGTTGTACGAGCCTTTGGTGATGTTCTTTGGTCTCACCAACTCCCCCGCGACTTTCCAGGCGATGATGAAAGAGATCTTCCACGATCTCATCGTCGGCGGCAAGATCCTTGTGTACCTGGACAACATACTCATCTTCTCCACCAATAAAGAGGAGCATGAGAAGGTCACACGCGAGGTTCTGCGCCGCCTTCAGGATAATGATCTGTTCCTGAAGCCTGAGAAGTGCGAATGGGATGTTCCCAAGGTCGACTACGTCGGCTATGTGTTCGGTGGCGATGAGGTGGCGATGGATCCCGCGAAGCTTAAGGGTATCAATGAGTGGCCGGTGCCCCGGAACAAAAAAGATGTCCAGAAGTTCCGGGGGTTCTCCAATTTCTACCGCCGCTTCATTAAGGACTTTGCTAAGATCTCGTGACCACTCGACCGGCTCACAGGGAACGACCCATGGCATTGGGGCGAGGAAGAGCAGCACGCTTTCAATGAGCTCAAGCGGCTCTTCGCGACGACTCCAGTCTTGGCGCTGTACGACCCTAATCGGGAGACGCGCATTGAGGTTGACGCCTCGGGGTACGCCACTGGCGGCGTGTTAATGCAGAAGCAGGATGACGGCAAATGGCATCCCATCGCCTTCAGATCACATGCGATGGATCCGGTGCAGCGGAACTACGAGATCTACGATAAGGAGATGCTCGCGATCATTGAGGCGCTAGACGATTGGTGTCACTACCTCGAGGGGTTACCCAATCAGTTCGAGATCGTGACCGATCATAAGAACCTCGAGTACTGGCGTACATCCCAGCATCTCACGCGCCGTCAAGCGCGATGGTCGCTGTTCCTAGCTCGCTTCGACTTCCGCATCACGCACAAGGCCGGGACGTCCAATGTAAAGGCTGATGCTCTATCGCGCCGATCAGACCATCAGATCGGCGATGAGGACGATAACACCGATCAGATAGTCCTTAAGCCAGAGCGCTTCCGCATCGCCTCCGCCAGACGCAGTCATGCCTCGGTGACGGCCGATCAGTCGCTTCTGAAGCGCATCCGGGAATGCTCGGAGAAAGATCGGGAGGTGGCCGAGGCGCTTGAAAAAGTGCAGGACCTCGGGCCGCCCCGGCTGCAAAGGGGTTTTGAGGAGTGGAATGCCGAACAAGGGCTCCTGCTGTTCCGCAGGTGCGTGTACGTCCCAAAGAACGCGGAGCTCCGGCGGGATATCGTTAAGATCCACCACGACTCGCCGATCGCCGGTCATGGTGGTCGTGCCAAAACCCTGGAGCTCGTGTCGCGGAATTACTGGTGGCCTGGGATGTCCAAATTTGTCAATGAGTACGTAAGCACCTGCGACGTGTGCAACCGTACCAAGACATTCCCAGCCAAGCCTCAGGGTCCGCTGAAGCCGAACGAGATCCCCGAGCACCCGTGGCAGATCATCACCATGGATATGATCGTGGGCTTGCCGAAGTCTGATGGATTTGACTCGATCCTGGTTACCACCGACCGCTTTACCAAGCAGGTCCACTTCTCGGCCTGTCATGAGACCCTGACGGCAGAAGGTGCGGCAGACCTGTACATCCGCGATGTGTTCAAGCATCATGGGGCCCCGGCCAAGGTCATATCAGACCGAGGTCCCCAGTTTGCTTCGAAGTATCTCCATGCGGTGTACAAGGGACTGGGAATCGAGCCGGCGCTGTCCACAGCATTCCACCCTCAGACAGACGGCCAGACTGAGCGCTGGAATCAGGAGATCGAGCAGTACCTGCGTGCTTTCACAAGCCACAGGCAGAATGATTGGGCAAAGCAATTGCCGCTCGCGGAATTCGCACTGAACAACCGAGTTCACTCCGTGACCGGGCACTCCCCTTTCTTCCTGCATCAAGGGTACAATCCTGAGATCCAAGTGCGGATCAATCCGATGTCTGCGATGCCTGCGGCCGCTGATCGGCTCAAGATCCTGAAGGAGATTCGCGACGATACGCGCTCTGCGCTCGAACTGTCAGCCGAGTGTATGAAAGTGTACTACGACAAGCACGTGCAGGAGGCACCGGTCTTTGCACTAGGGAACAAGGTCTGGCTTGACGCTCGGAACCTTAAGCTAAAACAGCCGAGCAAGAAGCTCAGTCCCAGGTGCCTCAGACCTTATGCCATGCGATGAAAGCTCGGAGACTTGGATTACAAATTGGTTCTGCCGAAGTCGGTGCCGGTGCACCCGGTATTCCATGTCTCCTTGCTTAGCAAGTACACGCGTAGCGAGATCCCGGGCCTGGAGCCGGAGGAGCCGCCTGCAATCGAGGTTGAGGGCGATGAGGAGTACGAGGTTGAGCGGATCAAAGATTCGAGGATCTTCCGGCGTCAGCTGCAGTACCTCATCAAGTGGAAGGGTTATGACGACTCGCATACGTCATGGGAACCGGCGCGCAACGTTGCCAATGCGCCGGCCCTCATAGCTGACTTCCACCGGAAGAATCCAAACGCCCCTCGTCGACTCAACGCTGCTGCCTTTGGTGGTCTCAACTTCCAGCTGATGCCTTTGCCGCTGACTGAAGCACGCTGCCGCTCCGGGTGGGAGATGGGCAAGGGCGCCTCGCATGAGGTCATGCGCCGTTAGGAGGGGGTAATGTCACGAGTTGGTACGGTGTCTAGCTGTTTTTTAATTTTTTTCCTTTTCGCGGGCTCGAACCCGCAACCTCTGTACTACATACCCGATACGGACGCATCACTATCTACTGTACGATCAGATTAGATAGGACGGCAGTATGCGGCACAGCTCGGGCTCCACTGATACAGCCTCTCTGACTCACCGGCCCCCAGGGCCACATCAGCATGCTGTGCACGGACCAGCTGCACATGGACCAGTGCGCACAGCCTGCCCTTATCTTCCCCTATATATAAGCCGGCCTCTGCTACCCTAGGGACCTCAGTTTCGACCTCTTGTCCCTAGGTCAGTATGCTCTCTTGTACCTGCTTACTTACTTAACTAACTAATACATTTTCTTGTCCCTAGCCTTAGGTTTGAGTGTTGCTCACCATCGCTTCGGTAAGAATCAGTCGGATGCCCCCAGCCTTCAGATATTCCCCAGTTGCTTGACCTCAAGTCGCCACAAGTATTGTCCACTGAAGTGCAGGTACTGAAGAGTTTGTTTCTTAAGTTGTGGCGATGTATCATAGACTATCTAAGTATAGTAAGGGTGCGCACCACCCAACCTGTGGGAAGTGAATGTGAGAGTGGGAGTTCCAAGGAACGCCAGCAGCTGTGAGAGTTTTGACCTAATGTCGCGACTTGAGGTCAAGCGACAGGGGAAAACCTAAGAAAGCTGGGGGCATTTGACTGATTCTCACCGAAGCGATGGCGAGCAGCACTCAAACCTAAGGCTAGGGACAAGCAATGTATTAGTTAGTATAGGTAAGTAAGCAGATACATGAGAGCTTACTGACCTAAGGACAAGAGGTCGAAACTGAGGTCCCTAGGGCAGCAGAGGCCAGTTTATATACATGGGGAGATTAGGGCAGGCTGTGCGCGTTGGTCCG